TAAAGAATCTGAAAAAAAGCTACTATACCAAGTAAGCTTAGCAACATCATCAGATTAAAAATAAATATGAGAAAAATCAATTGAGAGGAGTTCCACTTCCAGGAAGATGGAATAGACCCACATTTTTCTATTTTTTCCAGCAAGCAGAAAATAAAAACCCTGGACATTATATATAAATAACAAATATAAGAAGATTCTGAAAGGTGAAAAGGAGGTAGGCCACATAAAACCTTGGGACCCAAGGAAGTATATGATGGCAAGTTCTCTGGGTTTTATTTTTGCCTTGTGTATCTCAGACTTGGAGCTAAAGAAAACAGTAACTCATGTCATATGATCTGTCAATCCCACTCCTGGACATATATTTGGACAAAATATAATTCAAAAAGATACACGCACCTCTGTGTTCATAGCAGCACTATTCACAATAGCCAAGACATGGAAACAACCTAAATGTCCATTGACAGATTAATAGATAAAGACGATGTTGTACACATACACAATGGAATACTACTCAGCCATAAAAAGAATGAAATAATGCCATTTGCAGCAACATGGGTGGACTTAGAGATTATCATACTAAGTGAAGTTAAGTCAGAAAGAGAAAGACAAATACCATAAGGTATCCCTTAGAAGTGGAATCTAGAATATGACACAAATGAATCTATCTATGAAACAGAAACATACTCACAGACAAAGAGAACAGACTTGTGGTTGTCAAAAGGGAGGGGTAATTGGGGAGGGATGAATAGGGAGTTTGGGGTTAGCAGATGCAAACTATTATATATAGAATGGATAAACAACAAGGTCCTACTTGATAGCACAGGGAACTATATTCAATATCTGATGGTGATAAACCATAATGTCTCAAAATATAAAAAAGAATGAATATATATGTATAACTGAATCACTTTGCTATACAGCAGAAATCAACACAACATTGTAAGTCAACTATGCTTCAATTAAAAAAAGAAAAAAAACAGTAACTCAGAAACACCAGTGTGTTTAGACAACAAAAGCCCAACAAAATCCTGCTCTCTCTAGCTAAAGCATCAAGAAAAGAACAGAATGGCGAGAGAAAAAACTCGTAGACACTAAACTCTCTACTCCAGCCAATACCACAGAAAAAAATATGTGGTGCTACTTCCACCCATGCCAGCAAAGGCCAAGTGGGGAGTCTAAACGTCCTCCATCACCAGGCTTTAACAAGGCAACACAACCCCAACAGAGTGGTGTTAGAGAAAGTGAGTCCTGGGAACCAGGACTTTCATCACCAGTGTGTGGAACAAACCTCCCTACCACAGTGTCAGTGGAGACCCCAAAGGGAATCTGGACTTCCACTCCTGCCTAGCAGTAACAAGGTGATCTACCCCTCCCCCTCCCTGCTGCAGTTGTGTGTGAGGAGCCCTAGTGGAGAGTAATGATTTTCACCATGCTCCACAGTAACAGTGGAAGTCAACTGGAGAGCAAAGTGGTATTAGTGGGAGCCTAGTGGAATCTGGAGCACCAACTTTTGACCAGTGAGTAGCCCCTTCCTTCCTAAGGTGTCAACTGGAGAAGAATGGGTAACCTGGACTTCTATACTCATAATAAGATGGCACTCCTCCTTATCCTGCTGAAATCAGAGAAAGCCAGCTAAAACAGAATGTATAAATAACATCCAGAGTCTCATAATACCCCAAATGTCCAGATTTCAATAAAAAATAATCTGACATACCAAGAATCAGGATGACCTCAACTTGAGTGAGAAAAGACAATTACCAGATACCAAACCCAAGATGACAGAGATGTTAGAATAATCTGACAAGTTTTCAGATTATTGCAGCCATCATAAAGTTCTTCAAAAAATCAGCCATCATAAAGTTCTTCAAAAAATCAGCCATCATAAAGTTCTTCAAAAAATCATTAGGAAGATGCTTGAAACAAGTGAAAAAATAGAAAGTCTCATAAATAAATGTAGGATAACAAAGAACCAAACAGAATCTTTAAAAGAACTGAAAAACGTAACAACCAAAAAAAAAAAACTTAATAGATGGGCTCAAAATCAAAATGGAGGAGACACAGGAAAGAATCAATTAACTTGAAGATACAATAGAAATTACCCAATCTGAATAGCAGAAAGAAAAGATACTAGAAACAAACAAACAACAACAACAAACAACAACAGAAAGCAGAGTCTCAGGGATCTAATATTGGTCTCATTGGGGTCCCAGAAGGAAAGGAAAAAAAAGGACAGGTCTTCAAAATAACTATAAGAAATAATGGCTGAAAACCCTCCCAAATTTGGCAAGAGACACAGTATACAGATTCAAGAAGTTTAATAAATACCAAAAAAAAAAAAATTCAAAGACATACCAAGATACATCAAACTTCTGAAAACTAAAAGAAAATATATTGAGAGCAGCAAGGGAAAAATAACACCTTATATTTATGGGGAAAACAATTTGAATGTCAGCAGATTGATCATAAGAAACCATGGAGGCCAGCAGGAATTTTTCATGTTCTGAAAAAAAGAATGATAAACACAGAATTCTATGTACAGTAAGAATATCCTTCAGAAATAAAGGGGAAATCAAGCCATTCTTAGATCAAATAAAACTAAGAGAATTTGTTACCAGCATACCTACTCTAAAAGAATGGCTAGAGGAAGCTCTCTGAACAGAAATAAAATGATAGAAGGAATCTTGGAACCTCAAGAAGGAAGAAATTATGATGTTAATAGTAAAAATATGGGCAAATACACTTTTCTTCTACTATTGTCTAATTTATGTTTGATGACTGAAGAAAAAACTGTAACTGTCTGATATGGTTCTAAAATGTACATAGAAGAAATATTTATACAATTATATTACAAACAAGGGAAATGAGGAAGGGTGGGTAAAGGGACATAAAGGCAGGTAAGGTTTCTATACTTCAGTCAAGCTGATAAAATGTCAACACTAGCAGACTGTGATTAGTCATGTATTCATAATGTAATACCTAGAGCAAACACTAAAAAGCTACACAAAATGATGCACTCAAAAACATTACAGATTAATCGTATTGGAACCCTAAAATATTCAACCACAGGAAAGCAAGAAAAAGAAGAAAAATGAAAAATACAGAATAGAAAACAAAATATAAAATAGCAGATATAAGCCCTAAACATCGATAATTACATTAAGTGTAAATGGTCTAAATACACCCAGTGAAGAACTGAGATTGACAGAGTGGATTTAAAAACATAACCCAACTATATGCTGTCAAAAACACACTAAAGTCAAATGTAGCTATATAAGAAGATTGAAATAAAAGAATGAAAAGTTACACCATCAGTACTGAATGCTTCTCCCCTAAGATCAGGAACAAGTTGTGGACACCAGCTCTCCCTATGCTATTTTGACATGGTACTGGCAGTCTTAGCCAGTGCAGTAGGAAAGGAAAAGAAAAGAAGAGGCAAACAGATTGGATAAGAAGAAATAAAACTGTCTCTATTCACAGATTACATGATTGCCTACACAGAAAATGCCAAGGAACCTACAAAAATATTCTCAGAACTAATATGACAGTTCAACAAGGTTGCAGAATACCAGATAAACCTACAAAATACAATTTTATTTCTATACCATGAACACATAGGTATCAAAATTTTAAAAAATACCATTTACAATTGACCCCCAAAGTGAAATATCTGTGTGTAAATCTGACAAGATATATATAGGACTTTTATATTAAAAACAACAAAACACTGGTGAAATCAAAGGAGATCTAAGTAAATGTAGAGTCATACCGTGTCCACGGATTAGAAGACAACATAATAAATACATCAATTCTCCCCAAACTGATATACAGGATTAAAATAATTCCTAAAGAATTTCAGCAAGATTTTTTGGGGGTGAATATATGATTTACATGGAAAGGCAAAATAACTAGAATGGCTAAAATAATTTTGAAAAAGAAGAATAAGATGAAAGGAATCAGTTTACCCAATTTCAAGACTTATTACATAGCTACAGTAATCTACAGACACTACGGTATTGGCAAAGGGACAGACATATAGATTAATGGAACAGAAAGCGAACCCAGAAATAGGCCCACACAAATATGCCTAAATAATTTTTTACAAAGGTGCAAAAGCAATTCAATGGAGGAAAGAGAGCCTTTTCAACAAGTGGTGTTAGAGCAATTAGTCATCCACAGGCAAAAAAAAAAAAAGATGAAATTACATCTAAATCCCACATTTTACACATCTTACACAAAAATGAACACCAAAATGGATCACAGACTTAAATGTAAAATGTAAAACTATAAAACCTTTAGAATAAAAATAGGAGAAAATCTTTGGGACCTATGGCCAGGCAGAGTTCTTAGACCTGATACCAAAAACAGGATTCATAGGGAAAAAAAATTAATAAATTGTCTTCAACCTAATTAAAAACTTTTGCTCTGAAAAAGATCCTGTTAAGGGAATAAAAAGACAAGCCACAGACTAGGAGAAAATATTTGCAAATAAAATATCCAACACAGTACTCATGTCTAGAATATACGAAGAACTCTCAAAAGTTAACAGTACAAGATAAACACTGTTATCTGAACATAAGCAAAAGACATGAAGAGATATTTAACCAAAGATATAAAGGTGGAAAACAAATAAATGAAAAGATGTGCTTGTTAAATTAAAGTACCTTTAGAGACCTAAAGATGAAGACCCAAACTATAGGATGTTAGAAGAACGTACAGGAGTAATATCTTCTTAATGTTGGGATAAAAAAGAATTTCTTAATTCTTAAAAATCACTGAATATATTAGTAAAATGAAATTCCTAGACCTGAAACTCAAGGGGTCGCTGAAGGTCCACCACAGTATCACCACCCTGAAAGATCCACCTAACCTGACTTTAATATCTCTATTGGTTTCTATTTCTTTTAGTTCTTTATTTAAATACCAATTTCAATAAATGTAAAGATTTTAAAAGATATTTTGAGACTCGTTAAAACAAAAGATTTCAGGTAAACAAAACTTACATTTCCTCCCATTCTTTTTTTCGCTGCTGAATTTTCAGTTGGGCCCTTTCAGCCTTTAATATAAGTTTCCTTGTTTTCTCAATTTGACTTTCCACCATAATTTCACTTAGGGTTTTAGGCCGAAATTTCTTCCCTTTTTCTATGATTGATTCTTCTGGCACACTAATACTCCCACCTGTAAAGAGAGTCAACATTTTTTTTCAATCTTTTTGAAACATCAAAATAAAACTTTCAAATATTGTTTTTACCCTGCCACATTTTAAAAATCCAAGAATATAATGAATCTGTAATATATATTATAATCTGCAGTATATATTAAGCAACTACCATGAATTAAATCCCATAAGTATTTTAGAATACCAAAATAAAGAGATCTAAATCACAATTTTTGCTCCTCCGAACCTTATTAAAAAGTTGGTGAGATAACAATTAGAGAACAAGGTAATGAATAACAGACCACTGACAGATATTGGGAAGCAGGGAAAGAGTGTCTGTAACATGATGATGGGGGAAGGGAAAGGCAAGTGAGTCCTATTTGACATGTATAATTTGAGGTGACATATACCAACTGCAGTGGTCTGTGACCAATCAAAAAACTAGTCAGAAACACACACGTGTAGAATTTAAAAATTATGGGCTTTATCACAGACACATGAAAAAATGCTCAACATCACTAGTCATCAGGGAAATGCAAATCAAAACCACAATGAGATATCACCTCATACCTGTCAGAATTGCTGTTATCAAAAAGACGACAAATAACAAGTGTTGGTGAGGAGATAGAGAAAAGGAAACCTTTGTGCACTGCTGGTAGGAATGTAAATTAGTGCAGCCACTATAGAAAACAGTATGGGGGTTCCTCAAAAATTAAAAATACAACTACCATATGACCCAGGAATTCCACTTCTGGATATTTTTCCAAAGGGAAAAAACCCCGCTAATTCAAAAAATGTATGTGCCCCTATGTTCACTGCAGCATTATTTACAATAGCCAAGATACGGAAGCAACCTAAGTGTCCATCGATAGGTGAACAGATAAAGAAGACGTGGTATACATATATATATTATACACACACACAATGGAATATTACTCAGCCATAAAAAAATTAAAATCTTGCCATTTGTGACAACATGGATGACCTAGAGGGTATTAGACTGAAATAAGTCAGACAAAGAAAAATACTGCATGATTTCTCTTATATGTGGAATCTAAAAAAACAAAACAAATGAACAAACATAATAAAACAGAAACAGACTCATAGATACAGAAAACTAACAGCTGGTTGCCAGAGGGGAGGGGGTGGGGGGATGAAATAGGTGAGGGAGATTAAGCGGTACAAACTTCCAGTTACAAAATGAGTGAGTCGGGGGATGAAATGTACAGCATAGGAAACACAGTCAATAATGTAGTAATAATTTTGTATGGTAACAGATGATAACTAGACTTATCATGGTGATCATTCTGTAATGTATAGAAATATGGAATCACTACGTTGCATACTTAGAACTAACAGTTTTATAGGTCAATTAAACTTCTATAACAATTAATTAAAATAATTGATTTTTATCAGTTATAAGTATCTACTGGGGGTATTACTCTATGTTCAAGTTGCATAGAGATATACTTTGGATATACACAAAAAAAGTTAAATAATATGGATGGTCATACAGTTATAAGCTACCATTTCATTTCATATTTCAAATATATGGCACCATGGTAAAATAATAGTTTAATGTGGCCTGAGTGGCCACAGAAAGGCTTTATAGTAAAAGTGTAATTTGTATATATAAAATAGATAACCAACAAGGTCCTACTGTAGAGCACAGGGAACTATACTCAATATTTTGTAATAACCTATAAGGGAAAAGAATCTGATAAAGAATATAAATATAACAATCACTGTGCTGTACACCTGAAACTAACACAACATTGTAAATCAACTATACTTCAATTAAAAAATTAAAAGTATAATTTGATCTGGATCCCCAAGGACCGGGGAGAATTCAGAGGGGAGAGGAGTGAATTGGTCACTCCATCAGGAACCTGGATGTGGAAGTTTCAGACATAATTAGGAAGCAACAAGCAGGACAATAAGCTAAACGTGCCAATCACGCAGTATGAGAATGCGCTATTGGAAATAAATTAGGGATATTGTGGAAGGATTAAATATGGGGATAATGGTTTCAGATTTTATCCTAGAGGCAGAAAGAAGCCATTAAAAGTTTCTCAATGAAGAGAGTGAACCAGTATTAAGGTCAGTACTGTATCCTGGGCACTAGTCTAGATCTGGTCAGGCTACAGTGACCTTTATCCTTGACTGGGCTCTGCAAGCCATTCCCAGAATTCCTGTCTTCCTCCTACTCACCTGCAGTCATCCTGCAGGCAGTCACAAGAGGCAAGGCGCAGGGATTAGAGGCACTATTTTCACATCTGTATTCTCAGCTCATCACTGTTTAAAGCATACGCTCTTGGAAAAGAGTGTGAAATGCTGTGTTCTAGCCCTACCCTCTGGGATGGAGCCCAGGAATCTGGGAACAAACACTGCCTAGGAAAACTAGCATCTGGGGAAATCCTAGATTTAAGAACAGCTGGACATGGGAAGTTAAGAAATCCGCAGCACCAGGTGCTCTCATCCACTCTCAGTTCCATGACTGGGAGTCAAAGGTTCTGCTCACAAAAAGATAATTCAACTTTGAAATTTTAATAAATAGGGATTTAAAAGCCTTCTTGTCATTTAGGTTACCTGTATCTCTCTGACTGTCCTTTCTTCCAGTTCCTTCTTTTTCAAACCTCTCAAATTTGCTCGCTCTTCTCTCTGATTGACTTGGCCGTTTGGATTTGGAGTATTTAGAGGGCTTCACAAGCCTATAGGAGGATATCTTGTGTTCACTTTGTATGGCATGAACCACAATAGTATCGCTTTCCAACGAATCACGAAATCTGAAGGGAAAAAAAAGTATTTGCAATCATTACCAGTTTAATCATGCTGCATGATTATTACATAATAAAATAAGATCACAATGTACTATGCTGATAAATGATACCATTATATCACACTGGATCCAAAATTCAACCATGAATTCCACTACCAACCCAACAAGGATGTAGTGGAATTTGAATAGGACTTGGTTAAAGAGCAAGTAGAATTTTCTTCTTAATGAAAATACTAAACATCTCATTATAAACAGTATGATGCCATTGTTTTGATAGTATGAAGAGTCAAAAATTTTCAGACAGACTACAGTTTAAAGGTAAATGGATTATATCAAACTCTGAGGAAATGTAATTCAGATTCCTATCTATTATCTCATTTATTATATATAATATTTCATATATTACATACACGATAGATAACAGGTGGTGATACATGTATGTACATATTACCCTATTTGTCTCTATAAAAAACATTAAGCTCAGGAGTCTGTACTACTCTCCAGTTCAACTTTCTCTTATAGCTCACAGATATCTATCTTTTAAAAGTTCTTCATCAATTTAATTGTTGTTATTTTTGGCTGGTTCACAATTATTTCCTCATCTTTTTATGTCTAAGTTGATTTATAGATTCAATGTAATTCCAATCAAAATCCTAGGTTTTGTCGTGAAAGTTGACAAACTTATTCTGTGCAAAGGACCTAAGCAATATTGAAGGTGAAGAACAATCCAGAGGGTTCATAATATCAGATGTCAAGAATAATTAAGGTCTTGTGACACTAGCACAAAAACAGACAGACCAATGGAATAAAATGAAAAGTTTAGAAACAGACCCACATATATGTGGTTACCGGATTTTTGACAAAAGCATCACTACAGTCTAGTAAGGAAAGGATGGTCTTTTCAGCGAATGACAGTGGGCCAATTGGATATCCATATAGAAACAAAAGACATTTGATCTCTATCTTACACCACCCACAAAAATTACCCAAGATAGATAATGGCAAAACAGTAGAGCTTCTAGAAGAAAACAGAGAATTATTTCATGAATTGGGAATAGGCAAAGATTCCTTAACTACAACATAAAAGCACTAACCATAAAAAGTTAGTGAAAATATTGATAAATTGCAAAGGAAAACACTGATAAGCTAAACTTTATTAAAATGAAAAATTTCTGTTCAAAAAGACACTATAATGAGGATGAAAAGACAAGCCTCAGAGTAGAGCAAGATATTTTACATGCATGCATACACACACATAGATATGTCATATATACATGTGTCGTGTGTATGACGAGACTCATCCAGAATATACAACTCCCACAACCCAATTTTTAAATGAACAAAAGACTTGAGCAAACCCCTAACAAAAGAGAATATAAAAATAACCAGTAAGTATAGGAAAAGTGACTGAAAATCGTCACTCATCTGGAAAATGCCAATTTAAATCACACTGAGACACTACTACAGAATAGCTGAAATTTAAAGAGCTGACAATGCCCAGTGATGGCAAGCATGAGTGTTATGGGTTGAATTGTGTCCCCCCAAAAGAATATGAAGTCCTAACCCCCCAGGTACCTCAGAATATGACCTTATCTGGAAATAAGGTCTTAACAGAGGTAATCAAGTTAAAATGAGATCATTAGGGTGGATCCTAATCCAACATGACTGATGTCCTCATAAAAGGAGAAAAGTTGGACAAGCACAGAGGCAATATTATATGAAGAGACACAGAGAGAACACCATGTGAAGACAGAAAATTTAGAGTGATGCATCTACAAGCTAAGAAACACCAAAGATTGCTGGCCAAGCCACCAGAAGCTCAGAAAAAGGCATGGAACAGATTCTCCCTCCCAGCTCTCAAAAGAAACCAATTTAGTCAACACTTCGATTTTGGACTTCCGGTCTCCAGAATTATCAGATAATAAATGTCTGTTATTGTAAGCCAGCCTGTCTGTGGTACTTTGTTATGGAAGCCCTAGAAAATGAATACAATGGGAATCAATTGGAATTCTCATACATTGATGATCAGAGTATAAATAAATTGAGCCATTTTGGAGAACTGTTTGTCAGTGTCTAATAAAGCTAAACATGCTTAGAACCTACGGTCTAGCAGTTCCACTCCTGATTATATAGAAAACAGAAATAAGTGCTTATGTCCACCAAAAGACATGCACAAGAATGTCAGCATTATTCATCGAAGCCAAAAAATAGGAACAACTCAAATATCAGCAGTTAAATGGATTAATAAATTGTGGTACAACCATTTAATAGAATATTACAAAGCAATGAAAATGAATGAAGTACTGCTACCTGCATCAACATGGGTAATCTTAGGCATGATACTGAATAAAGAAGCCAGATACAAAAGCGTTCATACTGCAGCTTTCCATGTATATGAAGTTCACAGACACAACTAATCTATGGTGATAAACATTCATCTTTGGAGAGTAAATATTTATCGGGAGGAGGCCACGAGGGAAATTTCTGGAGTGTTATAAAAGTTCTTTTATTTTTTTAATTTTTTTGAATTTTTATTTCTTTTTTTGGCTGTGTTGGGTCTTCGTTGCTGTGCTTGGGCTTTCTCTAGTTGTGGCGAGTGGGAGCTACTCTTCATTGCCATGCACAGTCTTCTCATTGTGGGCTGCGGCTCGTGAGCTCTAGAGTGTAGGCTCAGTAGTTGTGGTATGCAGGCTCAGTAGTTGTGGCGCACAGGCTTAGTTGCTCCGTGGCATATGTGATTTTCCTGGACCAGGGCTCGAACCCATGTCCCCTGCAATGGCAGGTGGATTCTTAACCACTGCACCACCAGGGAAGCCCCCTTGGCTCTACTTTAATTTTGATTTTCTAATATATACATGCTCACGTGTTAATTAGTTATAAAATAAATAGTTTGTTAAAAACCGAAAGTAAATATGTATGACATAATTTGGTTTGCAAAAAATTTTGCAGACTTAAACTAGGAAGGAATGAGCTCAGGAAATCAGTAGCACTGACAAGAGGATTCCTTGAGATTTTAGGAGTTAGTAGGTACTTCAGGAGACCTCTTAATCTGACCACTTCAATAAAGCCACTGGGAACTACTTTCTTCAAATATATGCTCTCAGACATCTTAACTTGCAAGAAATATGGATCCTACCTATTCTGTAGCTTCATTAGGCCAAGCTGGTGTTTCTCTTTTTCCCAAGCTAATTCCTTTTCCACTCGTTGAATTTTATTAGCTGTTTTCCTGTCAATCTCAGCACGAATTTTGGAATCTAGATCAAAATCCTGCAGATAAGTAGATTTGTTCATCAAAATGGGTACCTTTATCGATGGACTTTATCAATCCTATTTCATACATAAATACAGATTTTTAAGGTTTGTCCTCAATTTTATGCTACATCATAACTGTCTCCTAAGTATCATAAACTCTCTCGTTCTAGAAAAAGAAACATACTTTTGATTTTACTGTCACAAAATATGGAGAAAAGTTCCCAGAAATAATTAACAATGATGAAAATACAGTTACATATTAAAAGATTTTTCCCACAATAAAAACAATGAATGCTAACAGAATATTTGGAGAGTTTAAACAGTTTAAAAAAGAGGAACTCTCTGCACCCCAGAATAACTACTATTACATAACCAGCAGGGCATGGGGTAAAAGTTCATGGCACTTGATCATTAGCTGAACCTTCCTTCCCATGTGACTCCCCACCTAGGAAAGACAGTAATGTCTTTGGTGTCTTCCGGATATAACCAAGTTCTGGTTGAATATCCCTCACCAAAGGGGCCATTTTCCCCATAAGGATACTTAGGGGCCTCGTGTTTCTTTCCTTCACTCCTGGAAGAATATCAGGGCCTTCATTCACACTGAATTGAGAGTAATTATTCTTTCCAGGTGTGTTGGTGCTTTAAATAATGGTGTATGTAAAATGCTTAGCCACAGAACTTACCTCAGTTGTTCTTTATTTTGAATTATGTAACCATATTCTGCAAGTGTCAACACTTTTCTTAGTAAAATAACAAACATCTTTTAACCATTATAAGTTGGTCTTTTAACCAATATAATGAGTTAATCATGATTTCACCACAGTTTTTTTTTTAATATGAAATTGGCTAAGTGCTTCTGGAATTATAGGACTGGGTAACCCATGGGTACAGTCAGGATAATAAATTCTGAGCTTTTATTTGATTAGGCTCCTGACAGTAATTCCATTTAAGATAATGTAAAAAAAATTAGGAAAAAAGTTATCACTAGGAGGTAAATGGGGCTTTGCAACAAGTCACAGAAGAAAAAAATTTAATACAATATTAGCTTAAACAATTTGGTGATTGTCCCCATAGCTACAACTATACTAAGTCATCTTTTAGAAACTTTGTGGATGAACCAGGTACTATCTTTTCAATAGAGTTGATGAATTATGGAAAAGGAACCACAGAGAATCAAATTATATAGTATGTACCTATCCAACAGTTAAATATCTTGGCTAGGTATGGTAAGGATAACCAGATTCAAACTTATATCTTATTACCAAAAAAATGTGAAGTAGCTAAATCCAGAAGTAAACTTTGTGTAAAGAGGCTCATCTACATCCAAACCAAGTTGCATGACAAGTTCTACAGTAGTTTAGTTGCTGCCAACACACTGACCAACCAGACAAGGGAAATTTAAAGGTAGTTTTAAGTGTTCCTACTTGTTGGCAAAATAGCAGCCTCAATTCAGAAATAGCATATGTTAAAATTAAAATCAAATTTATTTTAGGCTTACTGTCCGTTTAAACTGCATATGTTTTGGTAATTCTTCATTCATCTGTAGTAGTTTCTGTAATTGATTCCTTAAAGCTTTGATTCGTTCTCTCTTCTCAGCCTTGATTTCTTCCCCTTCTTTCATTAACTTGTCATGTTCTCTTTTTCTTCTGGCATTCTCAATACTGAAAACAGAAAATTTAAAAGGTAACAGGTTAAAGATAGAGAAACAGCAGAGAAAATTAGTATTTAATAATTTGGAAATTCATTTAACTTGGTCAGCTTTGGTGAAATATTGGTGTGTTTTGCAAAAGCCCAGTCCTATTAGGTATTGATCAAAAATTCCCATACCTGTAGGCTTTAGGATCTTCAATATCTTCTGGAATTGGCTCTGTTTCTATTCCAAACTGTAGGAAAAGGAGTAAAAGCTTAGCTCCTTTAAATTGCATATTTACCTTAAAATATCTAATAAGTAGTAAATTGAGGGGTTTTCTCTGCTAATTTCTAACAACTGTAGGCCTGGAAAGTATTGTCACAAAAAATAAACTAGGGAAAAAAACTTATTTGTTTCTACTTCATTTAAAGAGGTATGTAGAAAAAGAAAATCACATGTATGCAAAATGTTAATATCACCATATTCCCCTCCAAAATACGAATTAGTAATATTCATGTGTTACTAACAAAAAATACACCAAAAAATCCTCTAGATCATTTACTTTAAAGTACTGTTTTTTTAGCATATTCCTTTCATACATGCTTTGATTCCCACCACAATACCTCATGTGTATACAGGAAAAAGTTTATGTATATTTTTAAAATTTTAAGTGTTTCACTTGATCTTATCACAGATATTCAGTGAGAAATACACAGAATACTATAATCCCTCTCCTTGAGAAAGAAAGATGAAATCAGAAATATGACTCTCCCTTTAGAAAGGAAATCAGTTTAAATTAAGAAGCACTATGAAGTAAATCACTCAGAAGTACTTTGTTTATTCAGGTGCTGTGCTGAAAAATGTCTTAGGCTGTTAAAGAACAGGATTTATAACCCAGTGAATGAAACAAAAAGTCCTAGTTTGCTAGCTAACCAGTTCTTAAGTAAAACTGAACTTATTTTCTATTCTCTTCATAGCACATAGGTCTCTGTTTAGCTATCATTTGTTGTAAAGAAATAAAGATTCTCTTTTGATCAAGTTGTTTTATTACAGTACTAGTCTTTATACACATAAAATATAAATCTACATTTATATAAGACAAGATTTGTGATTTTCATAAAGTGAAGTCATAAAACATGACCAATGTAAGAGACAAGTGATGGCTAATACATTTTAGTTACTATTAATCACTTAGGATACAACTTGACTGAACTCTATTCTTTTATTGCTCAGAGTTAAGCCCCTTGCTTCTCCAATATCAGTTACGATTTCCAGGATTTGATACTGATATCAGCCAACTCTCTCCTGACCTCAGCTGTTTACAATAAATTTGAGTTAAACAAAGGTGCTTCCAAAGAGTTCCAAAACACCTGCCAATTGTTCTCAATCGTGACTGCACTCTAGAACCACGGGGGCTGGGGGGAGGGGTGACTTTTATAAAATACAGATGGTCCCTTACTTACAACGGTCAACTTGATGACTTTGCATTTGGTAGAAAGCATACTTCAAGTTTGGAATTTTGACCTTTTCCTGGCTAGGGACATGTGGTAGATCCACTCTCGTGATGCTGGGCAGCTGCTGCAGCCACAGCTCCCAGGCAGCCACACGATCATGAGGGTCAACAACCGGTACCCACATAACCATTCTGTTTCTCACTTTGAATACAGTATTCAACAAATTATGAGATAGTCAACACTTTATTATAAAATAGGCTTTGTGGTAGATGATTTTGCCCAACTGTAGGCTAATGCAAGTGTTCTGAGCACGTTTAAGGTAGGCTAGGCTAAGCTGTGGTGTTTGGTAGGTTAGATGTATCAAATGCATTTTCAGCTTATGATGGGTTTATCAGGGCACAATCCCATCGTATCTTATGTTGAAGAATGTCCGTACTGATGCCTGGGCCTCACTTTCCGAGATTCTGATTTAACTGCTCAGGCATCTATAGTTTCAAGAGCTCCCCTGTGATTCTAAAATACGGTAAGAACCTCAGACCTATGCAGAGCTTAGTTTTTAATTTTGTCTATTCAATTCTTTCTGATTTTGCCTTCTAAAACGCAGAGGCTGCTTCAGTGACTTCAGAAATATTTATTGCAGTCATAAATAAAAGGAGACCATTATACAAATGTGGAATGGATTTTTTCTATCCCATATGGGTTTCCATAGAGAGTTGGCACTAAGTAGAAAGATAAAGATTTTCTTCTTGTTCATACACTTTCCCTTCTGGAAAATTCCTCTTCCTTAGCTTGACCTCATTAGACAGCAGTTCATTCTCCAAATTCTGCTGCTATTAATAGAAATGAAAATTTACCTGCTCAAATCTTCCCTACATTCTTTGCATATTCTTTTGAAGCAGGCTACCTGTTAAATAGGAAGCCAATGTGTCCACAGGAATTTTAACTTTGGTCTAATACAATCCCTTATTCTTTAGAAGCAATTCTAACAGTTATTAGTCATTTTATCCAAAGGAACCATTTTTTTTATTGGAGTATAATTGTTTTACAATGTTGTGTTAGTTTCTGCTGTACAACAAAGTAAATCAGCTATATGTATACATATATTCCCTCCCTCTTGGACCTCCCTCCCACCCTTCCCCCCCATCCCACCCATCTAGGTCATTACAGAGCATGGAGCTGAGCTCCCTGTGCTATACAGCAGGTTCCCATTAGCTATCTATTTTACACATGGTAGCGTATATATGTCAATCCTAATCTCCCATTTCATCCCACCCTCCCCTTCCCCCTCTGTGTGCCAATGTCTGTTCTCTACATCCTTGTCTCTACTCTTGCCCTGGAAATAGGTTCATCTATACCATTTTTCTAGATTCCACATATATGCATTAATATATGATATTTGTTTTTCTCTTTCTGACTTACTTCACTCCATATGACAGACTCTAGGTCCATCCACATCTCTACAAATGACCCAATTTCATTCCTTTTTATGGCTGAGTAAGATTCCATTGTATATATGTACCACATCTTCTTTATCCATTTATCTGTTGTTGGACATTTAGATTATTTCCACGTCCTGGATATTGTAAATAGCGTTGCAATGAACATTGGGGTAGATGTGTTCTTTTGAATTATGTTTTTCTCAGGGTATATGTCCAGTAGTGGGATTTCTGGGTCATATGGTAGTTCTATTTTTAGTTTTTTAAGGAACATCCATACTGTTCTCCATAGTGACTATCAATTTACATTCCCACCAACAGTGCATGAGGGTTCCCTTTTCTCCACACCCTCTCCAGCATTTGTTTGTAGATTTTTGACAATAGCCATTCTGACTGGTGTGAGATGATACCTCATTGTAGTTTTGATTTGCATTTCTCTAATAATTAGTGATGTTGAGCAGCTTTTCATGTGCTTCTTGGCCATCTCTATGTCTTCTTTGGAGAAATGTCTATTTAATTAAGCCTTCTGCCCGTTTTTTGACTTTTTTTTTTTTTTTGATATTGAGCTCCATGAGTTGTTTGTATATTTTGGAGATTAATCCTTTCTCCGTTGCTTCATTTGCAAATATTTCCTCCCATTCTGAGAGCTGTCTTTTCGTCTTGTTTATGGTTTCCTTTGCTGTGCAAAGGCTTTTAAGTTTCATTAGGTCCCATTTGTTTATTTTTGGTTTTATTTTCATTACTATAGGAGGTGGGTCAAAAAAGATCTTGCTATGGTTTATGTCAAAGAGTGTTTTTTCTGTTTTCCTCTAAGAGTTTTATAGTGTCCAGTCTTAAATTTAGGTCTTTAATCCATTTTGAGTTTATTTTTGTGTATGGTGTTAGGGAGTGTTCTTAATTTCCTTCTTTTACATGTAGCTAGCTGTCTAGTTTTCCCAGCACCACTTATTGAAGAGGCTGTCTTTTCTCCATTGTATATTCTTGCCTCCTTTGGCATAGATTAGGTGACCATAGGTGTGTGGGTTTATCTCTGGGCTTTCTATCTTGTTCCATTGATCTATATTTCTGTTTTTGTGCCAGTACCATACTGTCTTGATTACTGTAGCTTTGTAGTATAGTCTGAAGTCAGGGAGCCTGATTCCTCCAGCTCTATTTTACTTTCTCAAGATTGCTTTGGCTATTTGGGGTCTTGTGTTTCCACACAAATTGTAAAATTTTTTGTTCTAATTCTATGAAGAATGCCATTGGTAATTTGACAGGGATTGCACTGAGCCTGTAGATTGCTTTGGGTAGTATAGTCATTTTCACAATGTTGATTCTTCCAATCCAAGAACATGGTATATTTCTCCATCTGTTTGTATCATCTTTGATTTCTTTCATTAGTGTTTTATAGTTCTCTGAGTACAAGTCTTTTGCTTCCTTAGGTAGGTTTATTCCTAGGTATTTTATTCTTTCTGTTGCGATAGTAAATGGGATTGCTTCCTTAATTTCTCTTTCTGATCTTTCACTGTTAGTGTATAGGAATGTGAGAGACTTCTGTGAATTTTGTATCCTGCACCTTTACTAAATTCACTGATTAGCTCTAGTAGTTTTCTGGTGCTGTCTTTAGGATTTTCTATGTATACTATCATGTCATCTACAAACAGTGACAGTTTTAATTCTTTTCCAATTTGTATTACTTTTATTTCTTTTTCTTCTCTGACTGCCTTGGCTAGGATTTCCAAAACTATGTTGAATAAGAGTGGTGAGAATGGACATCCTTGTCTTATTCCTGATCTTAGAGGAAATGCTTTCAGTTTTTCACCACTGAGAATGATGTTTGCAATGGGTTTATTCATATATGGCCTTTTTATGTTGAGGTAGGTTCCCTCTATGCCCACTTTCTGGAGAGTTTTTATCATAAATAGGTGTTGAATTTTGTCAAAAGCTTTTTCTGCATCTATTGAGATGATCATATGGTTTTTATTCTTTAATTTGTTAACATGAATATTAACATTGATTGATTTGCATATATTGAAGAATCCTTGCATTCCTGGGATAAATCCCACTTGATCTTGGTGTTGATACTTTAATGTGTTGTTGGATTCTGTTTGCTAGTATTTCGTTGAGGATTTTTGCATCCATGTTCATCAGTGATATTGGTCTGTAATTTTCTTGTTTTGTGATACCTTGTCTGGTTTTGGTATCAGGATTATGGTGGCCTTGTAGAACGAGTTTGGGAGTGTTCCTCCCTCTGCAATTTTTTGGAAGAGTTTGAGAAGGATAGGTGTTAGCTATTCTCTCCAAAGGAACCATTTTGATAATAGAAAATTTAGGTCTTGTGATAGGGCAAAGGGATATAATTTGGGGATTCAAACCCTCAATCTTCATTACAAAGCCAATAATGTATTCTGTTTAAGAATACAATAATTTACCTGAATCTTTGATGAAACTCTCATATTCTAATACTAAAGATAATAATATTTTTACAACCCCTTTCAAAGGTACAAATTATGGTATACATCCCACATATGCTTCTTCAATAAGCAAATGAATAAACAGAAAGCAAAATATATTGGAAAAAAGTTGGGCATCTTGAAAACAAAAAACTTTGTGAAGGTGATGGAGACAGAAAAATTGACAGTCTTTTTAATAGAGGGACTTCTGCACCTTTAATAATAAGGTGAATTCAACATCTTTAATATTTGATAACAGAGGCACCAGAAAGGCAAAATTATAATACTGGCAGGAAGATTAGACTGCGAGGTATTTGTGTCGAAAAAGTTTCATTTTTAAAGAATATGAGCATTTTAACATCACAATATTAAAATAAAGTTATTATTATTAGTCAGTTACATACCCTGGGAGATGGCACCTTGGCTTTCATGACTTTCTTTAACGCAAATTCAGAAAAAATGTTGAAAACAAAGATATTACTGTCTGCTCCAGCAGTCACCAAGAAACGGTCATCAAAGCTAGTGGAGATGGCTTTAATGCATCCATAATTATTGTCATGCATACTGAAGTGCCAGTAGTCCTCCATATTGGTCAATGAAGGATCATTCTTATTTAGGATATAGACTCGAATTGCTCCATTTTGCATTCCACAAAACATCATTTCTTGGTTAATGCTACGAAACAAAAGGAAAGTAAATCGTTCTTCACATTAATCTGAAAATGTTTAATTGTAAGTTAATTGAAAAATGACTAAAGTTTTAAAAACAAAGATGTTTTGGAGTAAATTGTGTCCCCACAAAATTCATATGCTGAAGCCCTAACAAACTATGGCAGCTCTAGCAAACTAATACAAAAGAGTAGAAGGAGAAAAAGACAATTTGAAATTTGGAGCTATTATATTCAGTCTTCAAAAAAATGACCAGGATATAAGCATATATCCTTTAATTATTAAAGAACTAACTATTAAAGGACTAATGATTCAATTAGTGATCTTTCCAGAATCATTGTAACCCAGAACTTTCATTATCTGACTGTGCAGTAGCATCCTCCTAAGTAACAGAAAGAAAATCCATACAATTGAACTGTGTGGTAAATTCTGACAGAATATTTGATAGAAGGGATTGAAGTAGTTTCAGGAATAGTTTAGATTCTACTCTAGTCACTTGATTTATTTAACTAAACATTGTTTGAGTACTCCTCCATTTGGACAGATCTTTAAAATTGACAACATTAATGATGGACAAAAACAGAGAGTAATGGGATATAGTTGTTTTAAAGCTTTCTGAAATTCTGGTCACCTGAAAGTAATAGTTGTGATGGGATTATCCTCTGTATCCTCAAGAAGACGGAAATCAAAGGGTTCATCTTTCTTTTCTGTGATATCACTGCTTTTGTCATATGGGGGAAACTCACAGTGATATAGAAAACCAGAATCATAGCCACCCTGGAAAAGAGATAAATAACATACAAGGTAGTACCTGAATATAAAAATCCTATGACCACATGAGGAGTTTTTGATTATTTCAAATTTTAACACATAAAATAGGTGTCTTAAAACATATACTTTTGTATGATTTCTATGGTTACAGATGGAGATGCTTTATAAAACCTATTAATCATTTATATGCAACTACATAATTATAAAAATAAAACACCTTACAATGATTTGTTCCTACTTAAAAGACAATACAAGAGGGACTTCCCTGGTGGTCTAGTGGTTAAGAATCCTTCTCCTAATGCAGGGGACGCGGGTTCGATCCCTTGTTGGGGAACTAGGATCCACATGCCACGGGGCAACTAAGCCCGTGCACCTCAACTAGAGAGCCCATGCACCCACAACTACAGAGCCCATGCACTCTGGAGCCCACGCACTGCAACTACTGAGCTCATGTGCCGCAAGGAAGAGCCCATGCACTGCAATGAAAGATTCCACATGCTGCAACAAAGATCTGACACAGCCAAAATAAATAAAAATAAATATTTAAAAAAAGACAATACACGAGAGATATCATTTCTATCTACATACTGAATTCCATTTTATTTTAAGGATTATTCAGCATAAGCAGTATTTAACAATAGAGTTTTGTAGATCATGGTTTTCAGAGATTTCCAGTCCAGGAGATTTTTTTTCTCCCTAAGGCAACTGCCAGTTCTGAAAGTGGCAGCTGAGAGGTTAAGAAATTGAGCAGAGCAATCTGTAGTGTCATGGGCTTAGGGAAAGGCAAAGAATTCCCAGAGTCCTCCAAGAAGAAGGAGCCATTGTAAACTCACCTTCTACTGGGCTTTCCATTGCAACCCTGGAGGACTATATCCCACACGTATGGATAAACCAGAAATAGACTGGCCCTCGTGGGAAGTAAAACCTAATTTCAAGTCATCTCAATCACTGACTGGATGAAACTGATCTAGGATTTTTAGTTGCTTTCCAGAGCTAAAAATAAATGTCAGGAGACAACAGCAATATACAGAGACTCAAGCTGATGCTACAGTTTTTGACAGACAAGATCCAGCGTTCAATTATTAAAAAAAAAAAACTAGGTATACTAACAAAGAAAAGTCTTGATTGAAAATCAAAAGAAAAAACAGACCAAAGAAACAAAAGTACAAAAAATAGTGATAGAGGTGTTTTCAAAATGGACTTCAAAATAACTCTGATTAATATATTTAGGCCTTTGAAGGCAATACAGAAAGAAGTCAACTAGGGTCTATAAAAAAGTAGATAATGGAAAAAATAATTCTAGAACTGAAAAATAAAATGACAAAAATTAGAATTCAATAGATTGGTTTAAAAGCAACTAGACACAGCTAAAACTAGAGTTATGAAGCTGGAACGGAATCAGAAAAAATAGAGTAAGGCAGGAGAGAGAAAATACAGATGTAAAATTTTTTAAAAAGGAGTGTAAGATCTACATGGGACATAATGATAATGATTAATATACACAAAATTAGAATCCCACAAGAAGAGACTAAAAAGATGGACCAGAAGCAGTATTGTGGTCGATAAATGTCTGAGAATTTTCTAAAAACTGAATACAAATGTATTGAAGTACAAGAAATGCAATGACCCACAAGGAAGATATGTGAAGAATTTACACCTTTTAACATTACACCATAAAACTCCCAGAAGAGAGCATAAGCAAAACATTCTCTGACATAAATCATACCAATGTTTTCTTAGGTCAGTCTCCCAAGGTGACAGAAATAAAAATAAACAAATGGGACCTAATCAAACTTACAAGCTTTTGCACAGCAAAGGAAACCATTAAAAAAAAAAGACAACCTATGGAATGGGAGAAAATATTTGCAAATGATGTGACAGACAAGGGCTTAATCTCCAAAATATACAAACAGCTCATACAACTCAACAACAAAATAACAAACAACCCAATCAAAAAATGGGCAGAAGACCTAAATAGACATTTCTCCAAAGAAGACATACAGATGGCTAGCAGGCACATAAAAAGATGCTCAACATCACTAATCACTAGAGAAATGCAAATCAAAACTACAATGAGGTACCACCTCACACCTGTCAGAATGGCCATCATTAAAAGTCTACAAATAACAAATGCTAGAGAGGGTGTGGAGAAAAGGGAACCCTCCTACACTGTTGGTGGAAATGTAAGTTGGGGCAGCCACTATGGAAAACAGTATGGAGGTTGCTCAGAAAACTAAAAATATAATTACCATATGATCCAGCAATCCCACTCCTGGGCATACACACAGACAATACTATAATTCAAAAGATACATGTACCCCTATGTTCATAGCAGCACTATTCACAATAGCCCAAACATGGAAACAACCTAAATGTCCACTGACAGATGAATGGATAAAGAAGATGTGGTACATATACACAATGGAATACTACTCAGCCATAAAAAGAATGAAATAATGCCATTTACAGCAACATGGATGAAACTAGAGATTATCATACTAACTGAAGTCAAAAAAAGAAAGACAAATACCATATGATATCACTTATATGTGGAATCTAAAATATGGCACAAATGAACCTAGCTACAAAACAGAAACAGACTCACAGACATAGAGTTCAGACTTGTAGTTGCCAAGGGGGAGGAGGGTGGGAGAGGGAAGGACTGGGAGTGTGGGATTAGCAGATGTAAACTATTATATATAGGATGGATAAACAACAAGGTCCTACTGTATAGCACAGGGAACTATATTCAATATCCTGTGATAAACCATAATGGAAAAGAATATGAAAAAAAAAGGCCGCATGTATATAACTGAGTCACGTTGCTGTACAGCAGAGACTGGCACAACACTGTAAATCAACTGTACTTCAATAAAAAAATAAAGAAGTTACACCTTTTAACACAAAATCTTCAAAGCAA